GTAGCTTCCTAAATGAGTAACTAAATAATTGAACAAAAAAAAAAAAAACAAAACAATATAATAAACAATTTTTGTTCAAAATAGATATCAGATGAATCATTATCACCTGATCTAATTGCAATGTCGGAAATGTTAAAATGTAGTTTACATGATGTTGAAGAATTACCCAAAGATGTACGAAAATTACTTGATACACAATTATATAATCTTGATTTAACACTTATACCAAAAATTATTCGGTAAGAAGATGAATATATACGATTTTGTTTTTTTTTGTTGTTATTATTCATATTTTATTGATTAATAATTATTTTATTAGAGCATATGATGAACTTCAAATGAAACATGAACCATTAACATTAATAAAACCTCAATTTGAAGTTCCTATGCCAGCACTTAAACCAGCTGTTTATACACCAATATTTCGTGATTGTGAACCACCAGCACTTGAACTATTTGATCTTGAAGATTATTTTGCATCGGAAACATCACGTTTAAATCAATTAACAAATAAATGTTCAGAACAAGATTTAGAATTATTTATTAAAGAATTTGGTAATATAGCTGGTATATCAAGTCGTATGCCAACTGATCAACGTGGTGCCAAACAAATTTTAGAATTTGTTGTAACACAATTATTTGAATTTAAACGAATGTATCAACCAGGAGTAAGAATATTTTTGTGAAAACAAAAAATTATTATTATGTGATTTTATTTTTATTTTTTTGCAATTAAGATGGAAGATGATTATATGGGTGTTCATGATAATCCACTTGATTCAGGTAGATATACATTCGGAGGAGGCGGTGGCGGTGGTGTTGCAGCATCAAATTTCGATCGTCTTATTGTCGATTAATACTTATTGTAATCGTTTTTTTTTTTAATGTATTTAAAAATAAAGAAAAAAGCATTCAAGCAGACTTTGAAAAGTATATGAAAGGTCGAAAATTTAAAATAGATATCTTTTATTTCGGTCGTTCTGTACCAATTTCAAGTTCTTTTAAAGTTATTGGATTCGGAGTATTTGAAAATTACATTCTTACTGGATATTCGTTTTCAACTTGTTGAAACATATTTTGTTGTCTCGATACTCAAAGAGAGGAACGCTATCGAAGGATTGATTTAATACTCTATTATAAAAACCATTCAAACTCAAAGTGTCACGTGCAAATGAGATTGATTGTGATGGTTTCTAATTTAATGAATGGAATACTAGAAGATAATGTAGTGAAGAGATATTTAAGACGATAAGAGTCTACCAAAGTTTATTACTTTTTTCTTGAAGTTTATTATTGTTTCCTAAATTCTTGATTAGAATATAACACATTCTAAATGTATTAAAACAAAGAAACAGCACTAAAATATCTATACTCATACTGACTTCACGATAACACAAGATTACGTATCTCTATACTGTACTAAAGAGAACATTGCTGTTGATCACTTGTTTAGTATTGTTGTCATCATCAACCAACTTTGACCAAGTTTTTGAATAATCATAAAACAGTTTCAAGACATGGAGTTTTTACAAGCTTAATGTGAGACTATTCTTAGGGTACCAGGATTAGAAGCACAATGTCGATGACTCAGAAGATCAATTGAAACATTTCCTCCAGATGTGAGTGGATTCTGAGAAGTGGTGAGTAAAAGAATATAATAAAATGCGGCAACTTTCCCGTTAGAAAATCAAAATATTTTACGATTAAGTTGTTACCTCCTCGATTCTCGCGATTGAACCTCTCCTGAATACACTATAGCCAATTTCAAACTGAAATACTCTATATATAATTCACGCTGTGCTACATATTTCATAGATCATTTTTCTCTAAGTAATGACGCGAACAAAACTAGATACATCTTTTGAATTCTTTTGCAAATTAGTCAACGTTTCTTTATTATTTAAACATCTAGAAAGCCAGCATTAGGTGCTGATCTATTCAGCATGTACCCAAAACGTTTTTGTTCAACTTGTAATAATCGAGGTAATTCAGTTTCATTTTTATAAACACGTCGTAATGGATCACTGGCTCTATCAAATAGATCTTTACCATTACGAAAACGATCGATAATATGTTTTTGATCATGATATTTAGGAATATCTAGTTCAGTATGTGAAAATGAAGCGATTTTCATTCGAACTGTTGCCAGACGATCAAAACAATAAGAGCAATGAAAACATGTACCAGGCATTGGGCGATAATTAAGACGAGCGCCACGTAAATCTAGTGGTATTTTATCATTTGGACTAAATCGTGAAACACTTCCACCTGGCCAAGAAGGATTAATGGCGTGACGAAA